CTAGACCTCTATCAGATGTGTAGTTGGTAAAAATCTTTCCCATTCTGTGGGCTGCCAATGTGCCTGGATGATAGTGTCATTTGCCATATAGAGAAGCTTTTCACTAAGTTTCATTAAGGTTCTATTTGTTAATTCTTGACTTTAGTTCCTGTGCCAATGCTGTTCTGTTCAGAAAGTCTTTTCCCGTGCCGATGAGTTCAAGGCCATTCCTCGCTTTCTTTTGTATCAGGCTTAGTGTATCTAGTTTTGTGTTGAGGCCTTTGATCCATTTGGAGTTTAGTTTTGTGCAGCACGATATGAATGGATCTATTTGGCTTCTTCTACTTGCAGCCATCTGGTTTGACCAGCACCATTTGTTGAAGATGCTGGTTTTTGTTCAGTGTATACTTCTGCTTATTTATAAAAAAAATAACCCAAGTGTCCATGGATGTGTGGGTTTATATCTGGGCTTCAATTTGATTCCATTGATCATGTGTTTGTTTTTGTGTCAGTGCCATGCTGTTTTTATCACTATGCCTCTGTAGTACAACATGAACTCAGAGATGGTGGTACTTCCAAGATCTCTTTGATGATTCAGGATTGTTTAAGTTATCCTGAGCTTTTTGTGTTTCCATATGAACCTGAAAATTGTCCTTTCAGAATCTTTGAAGAATTGTGTTGAAATATTGATGGGGATTGCATTGATTCTCTAGATTGTTTTTCATAGGATGGCCATTTTTACTATATTAATCCTACTGATCCATGAGCATGGGAGATTTTTCCATCCTCTGATATGTTCTTCAATTTCTTTCTCCAGTGTCTTAAATTTTATCATACAATCATTCACTTGCTTGGTTAGGGTTACCCCAAGATATTTTATATTATTTGAGGCTCTGGTGAAGGGTAATGTTACCCTGATTTCTTTTTAAATCCATTTGTCATTGACATATAGGAGGGCTACTGATTTTTGAGTTAACTTTGTATCTAACTACTTTGGTCAAAGTGTTTATCGGCTGTAGGCGTTTCTTATGTGTACTACCATATCATCTGCAAATAGGGCTATTTTGACTTTCTTCTTTCCAATTTGTATCCCCTTGGTGTCCTTCAGTTATGCTACCTCTCTAGCTAAGACTACCAAGTCCTATATTGACTAGCTATGGAGAGAGTGGACAGCCAGGTACTGTTCCTGATTTTAGTGTGATTGCTTTGAGTTTCTCTCCATCTAAGCTGATGTTGGCTCTGGGATTGCTGTAAACTGCCTTTATTATGTTGAGGTGTATCCCTTTTATCTCCAGTCTCTCCAGGACTTTTATCATGAAGGGGTGTTGGATTTTCTCAAAGGCCTTTTCTGCATCTAATAAGTTGATCATGTGATTTTTGTCTTTTAGTTCATTTAAACTGGTGGATTAAGTGGTGGATTACATTTATTGATTTATGTTTAACAATCCCTGTATCTCTGGGATGAAGACCACTTGATCGTGATGGATGATCTTTTGGATGTGTTATTGGATTCCATTTGCAAATATTTTATTGAGAATTTTTGCATCTATGTTCATAAAGGAAATAGTCTGTAATTCTCTTTCTTTGTTGGATCTTTATGTAGTTTGAGTCTTAAGGTTACTGTGGCCTAGTAAAATGAACTGGGCAATGTTGCTTCTATTTGTATTTTGTGGACTAGTTTTAGGGGTATTGGTATTAACTCTTCTTTGAAAGTCTGGTATAATTCTTTAATAAAACCATCTGGCCCTGGGCTCTTTTGGTTGGTAGAGTTTTAATTACTGCTTCTAATTCACTGAGGATTATAGGTCTGTTTAAATTGTTTATCTGATCTTGATTTAACTTTGGTAAGTGGTATGTATCAAGAAAATTATCCATTTCCTTTAGACTTTTAAATTTGGTAGGGTGCAGGTTTTTAAAGTATGTCTTTATGATTCTTTGGATTGCCTTGATGTCTGTTATGTCCCCTTTTCATCTCTAATTTGGTCAATTTGGATATTCTTTCTTTTGCCTTTTGGATAAGGCTTTGTTTTTTTTTTTTTGGTTTTTTCGAGACAGGGTTTCTCTGCGTAGTTTTGCGCCTTTCCTGGAGCTCACTTGGTAGCCCAGGCTGGCCTCGAACTCACAGAGATCCGCCTGCCTCTGCCTCCCGAGTGCTGGGATTAAAGGCATGCGCCACCACCGCCCGGCACTGGATAAGGCTTTGTTAATCTTACTAATTTTCTCAAAGAGCCATGAATTTGTGCATGTGAAGTATTTATTTTCATCCAATTCTGGAAAGTCTTTAATTTCTTTCTTGACTTATTTTTCATTCAGTAGAGAGTTGTTCAGTTTCCACGAGTTTGTAAGCTTCTGGTGTTTCTGTTGTTGTAGATATCTGTCTTTAATCCACGGTGGTTAGATAGGGTGCAGGGTGTTTTTTCAATTTTTTAAAATCTGTTGAGACTTGCTTTGTGTCTCAGTATGTGGTCAGTTTTGGAGAAAGTGCCATGAGGTGCTGAGAAGAAGCCATATTCATTCATTCATTCATTCATTCATTTGTTTATTCATTTATTCATTCGTTTTTATTCTCTTATGTTACATCCCAACTACAGTTTCCCCTCCCTCCTCTCCTTCCAGTTGTTTCTCCCCACCTCCCCTGGCCCACAGATTCACTCCTCCTCCATTTTGCTTCAGAAAAGGGCAGGCCTCCCAGGGATATCAACCAAACATGGCCTATCAAGTTGCAGTAAGACTAGGCATATCCCCTCATATTAAGACTGGATGAGGCAATACAGTAGGAAGAAAAGGCTCCCTAAAGCAGGCAAAATGTCAGAGACAGCCCCTGCTCTCACTGTTAGGATTCCCACAAGAGGACCAAGCTACACAACTGTGACATACATGCAGAGGACCTCAGTTGGTCCCACGTTGGCTTGCTGGTTGTTAGTTCAGTTCCCGTGGGACCCTATGAGCCCAGGTTATTTTCATTGACTTTTTTTTCCCTGTTGGTCATGTTTGACTATATTCTAGGTCTCTGGGCTATCCAGATGCTGTGTCCTGGCCCTCCAGGCAGTGTTATGGGTGGGCTTCCTCTCATGGCATGGGTCTCAAGCTGGACCAGCCATCATTGGCCACTCCTACAAGTTCAGTGCTACCTTTATTGTAGTACATCTTGCAGGCAGAACTAATTGTAGGTCATGAGTTTTGTGACTGGGTTGGTGTCCCAATCCCTCCACTGGAAGTCTTGCCTGGTTACATAAGATAACTGGGTCAGGCTCCATATGCCCCATCACTAGGAGTCTTAGCTAGGGTCACCCTCATAGATTCCTGGGAGTTTCCATTGCAATTCTAGTGTCCTCCAATTCCAGTCATCTCTCCCAGTACTCTCTTTTTTCATCTTCCCCTCACCTGATCTCTCCTGTTCCTGCCCTGTTTGTCCCCAGTTCACCCATAAATATACCTTTATGAATAAACATAAAGGGTATATTCTTTTGTGTTTGGGTGAAATGCTCTGCATATATCTTCTAGGTGTATTTGGTTCATAATGTCAGTTAGCAACAGCATTTCTGCTTAGTTTCTGTCTGGATGACTTGTCTGTTGGCAAGAGAGGGTTTTGAAGTCTCCCACTATTCGTGGGTGAGGGTCAATATGGGATTTAAGCTGTGGTCGTGTTTCTTTTATGAACTTGGGTGCCTTTGTATTTGGTGCATAGATATTAAGAATTACAATGTCCTCTTTGTGGCCAGCCCCAAGAGGGAGTTTTTAGATTTAGTATTTGTTTGATGGAGGTATCCATTTTTCTATCATGCCTTCAGTGCCTGAGATTCTCTCTTCTCTCTCTTGTATTCTGTTAGTGAGCCTTGCCTCTGTGGTTCAAGTTCTTAAGTTTTTCATTTCCAGATTTCCCTCAGTTTGGGTTTTCTTTTTTGATTGAGTTCCACTTTGAAGTTTTTAACTCTTTTATTATTCTCGTGTTGTTTGCTTATGTTTTCATGGATTTCTTTAAGGTGTTTATTGATTTCCTCCTTAAGGAGCTCCAGCATATCCGTAATGGATGTGTTAAGTTCCTTGTCTTATGCTTCAGCCATTTTGCATTTCTCAAGGCATACTGTAGTAGTTCTTGTGTTCTAGTGGGGACATATTTTCCTGGATATTATTGTGTTTTTATGCTGGCAGATAGGCATCTGTATTTAGGAAGGTTATAACTTTGGGTGCAGATATCCCTGTGGTCTGATGGAGATGGGGGCATAGAGGAGTGGGGGTACATCAGATGTTCTGCTCAGAGCTTGGGGCTTGGATTTAGAAGGAAGGAGAGGCAAAGATCTGAAGTTAGCCTACCTGTTTCCCTGGATGTTGTGGCGGCCAGCACTTCTGTCTGCATTGGGGTCTTGGGTAATAGGGTGAGTGGGAGGAAAGAAGGTAGGATGGGAAGGTCTCCGTGATCTTCTGGGGATGGGAATCAGAGAGTAAGGGGAGGACTTCCGCAGGTGTTCTGCTGCAGAACTGTGGGTGAAGCTGTTCAGGGTGTTTTAAAGAGCTCTCTATGCTTGTTCTTAGGACCAGGGACTTTGGTTTAGGGTAATATCACAGTTGTACCATCAGCAGTTATTATACAACAACTAACTGGAGTTTTCTTACTTATTAAAAGGGTATTTATTTCTTTTTATTGTATGTGTGTGCATGTTTTGCCAGCACCACATACGTGTCTGGTGACCTCAGAGCCAGAAGAGGATATTGGTGCCCTTGGAACTAGAGTTACAGATCATAGTGACCTATAACACAGGTGCTGGAAACTGCACTTGTGTCCTCTGGAAGAACAGTTAGTGCTCTTAACCTCTGAGCCATCTCTCCAGCATTGGAGTTTCTTAAATATGAAAAAAAAAAAACAAAACCCAGAACTGTTACATAATCTAGCAATCCCACTTCTCAGTCTCTAAGTGACATTTGCATGTTCATATTCATGGAAGTGCTTTATTTCATGATAATGCTATAAATGAATCCAAATGTAACTTTTAATGTTATCCTTTGTTGTCTTTAAAACTTAGGCGCTGTGGTTTGGCTAAGGAGTATAGGAATCAACTTCGGATGCAAATTGCCTACCAGCAGCAGGCTCTAGAAGCGGAGAAGGAAGAGAAACGCCAGGAATTTGAAGCAGGCATGGCAGCAAACAAGGCCTGTCTGGACAGGATCCAGGAGATCCTCTCAGAGCATCACGCCCTGTCTCAGAGTGTCCACCCCATGCGGAGGGCTTGCCCTGACAAGCTTCCAAGATAGTTTATTAAATGTCAATGCACAGTTTCTGGGTCTTTTAGTGTTTTGTAGCTACACCTTTTGGATAAACTCTTATTCTCTGTGTTTGTATACTTTATTAGACATAATTATCTTCCTTCAAATAAATGTGTTTTTTTGTTTAGATACTAGTCAATTCTTCATTGCCATGACATGATACCTGACATTACCAACTTAATGAGAGTAAAGATTGATTTTAGCTTCTGGTTGCAGAGTTTTCAGTACAGCTTGTCTGGTTTTACAGGATGTGAAGTCCCTGTGTGGTACTTTACCAAAACCCTGGAGACAGGAATTAGTAAAGGAAATGGGCTTGCTTATAGTTTGGGCCATGGTGGGGTCCCATGTGGTGATATATTGTGTACCCTAATAAACTTGTCTGAGGATCAGAGGACAGAGCCAGCCACTAGATTAGACATAGAGGTCAGATACTAGTGGCACACACCTTTAATCCTAGCACTCAGGAAGCAGAGATCAGTCTGGATCTCTTTGAGTTCAAGGCCACCCTGGACTATATGAGATTGACTCAGTCCAGGAGAAAAAACAGAGCCAGGCAGTGGTGACACATACCTTTAATTCCAGTACTGGGAAGCACACACACCTTTAATCCCAGTAAGTAGTATGGCAAGGCAAAGAAAGGTATATAAGGCATGAGACAGGAACTACAGGCTCTTTTTGGCTGAGGCTTTTTGGGTGAGGACTCAAAGGCTTTTAGGATTGGCTGAGGAGTGGGCAAGGTAAGGTTGGCTGTGGCTTGCTCTGCTTCTCTGATCTTTCAGCTTTCACCCCAATATCTGGTACCAGGTTTTTTATTTATAAGACCGTTTAGCATTCAAACCACAGTCTTGTCCCCACCCCACGCCCTGCTCCCTACTATGATAAAACACTGACCAAATGCTGGCATACTTTCTGGCTCACTCACAAGTTCATGATTAGCTTCAGTTTCTTATATAGCCTAGGAAAGATGCTACCCACAGTGGGCTGTGCCCTCCAACTTCAACCAATAGTCAAGACACTCTCCCAAAGACATGTCCACAGGCCACTCTGATCTAGACCATCCCTGGATGGAGGCCTCGTCTCTCAGACACTCTAGGCTGTGTCAAGTTGACAAAGCCAACAGAACAGAACCTAATGCTCTATCTAGAATCCAGACCAGACTGCTACTCAGGCCACAATCCCTGCAGCAACCCCTCCCCTCTCATAGACCCTGGCAGGTGCCTGCTGAGGTACCGTCTGGGCCTCAGACTTCCAGGTGCCCAGTTTTCTTCCCCGGGGGAAGATGAGTTTACAGTAAAGGAGATCCTGGGTGGGTACGGGGAGAACACATTCTGCTCCATACTTCTTCCTCTGTCTCCTACCTGAGAATTGGAGAGCCTGGCTTCAGGCTTGTCCTATAAAACCATCTTCAGAAAGTTGCAAGAGAAGAACTCCTCATTTACCACATGGGCCTGGTTCCTCTCTTCAGAGCCCCCACCACGCTGTTGTCCCTCTGTCTGTCCGTTTGTCCAGGGCATTAACAACGTCTCTAGTAAACTCTTGTGTCAAACAGTCCATTTCGGTGTCCCTCTTGATCCTGCATCTGAGATCTTTCATTTTCCTGTGTCAGCATTGCAATAGACAATGGACAGGACATACAGGTATGGAGCCTCAGCTTCCAGATGTTATCAGAATTTTTCCCGGGTCTTCTCTGACAGTTATGCCTCGGGCTATTCTCACTCACAGCATGAAATTTCCTTGAAAATTTGTATGTCTTATTGTTTGGGAGATGGACCCCAGGATCTCGAAAATGCCGGGCAAATGTTTGCCTAGATCCCAAACCCTCTTTTTACTTAAAAAAAAAAAAAAAAAGCACAATCATCTGAGTTACCCAGGCTGGTCTTGAATACGTGATCTTGCCTCGTTCTCCAGAGTAAACAGGATTATAGGCCAGATGACAATTTAATCCTTTCAGGCCTCTGTCGCACTATCCCCTGGCTCTGTTCCTGTGTCTATGACAAGGGAGCATTGTCACAGCCAAAGATGTGACTGGAAGCTTCTCACCTCAAGACCAACAGAAAACAGGTAACAGGAAGGGACCAGGGACAAGACATGTACTTCAAAGGCTTGCTGCCACCCCGCCACACACACCTGCCATGAGTTTCTTCCTCCAACTAGAAATGCCCTTCCACAGCTCTACCATCCCCAACGGTGGATCCTAATTTTAAATCTATCATTTAGAGATAAGAAAGCCCAAAGAAAATGATTGGAAAATAAGAGCAAACCCCCAACTCTCTGGCCATCATGCCTCTAGTGTTGGATCCTAGAGCTGTGCAAATAAATGGGGACCAGACCACTGCAGTCTATTAACCCGAAGCAAACTTCATTCTCTCACCATGGGGTACCAAAACTTCTAGCTAGCTAGAGCCACAGACCAGTCAGGATTTAGCACTATGACCTTGAGAGGAAGCCACAAGCTTCTTTTTATAATAATAAAAAAAAAATCACAGGCCAGGTGGTGAGTCAAGGAACTTTTACAGTCATGAGGTAAGGGTGTGGGGAGTGTCAGGGGAACTTTTGAAATCTTGAGTTTAGGCCTTTAGCCACAGTGCATTCTGAGGTTCACAATTTTTGATTACAGGGTGTTGGTTCAAGATGTTTGTGAAAGTTGTGACTATCTTGACACAACTGTGAGTCCGCCTTGATTCTTAACCGACTGCTTTCCCCATGACTGGAAGGAGTGTAGGGCAAAGGGTGACTGTTAAAGGTTAACTTGTTTAAAGCAGCTGTCAGCTCCAGCATCCCTGGAATATATGTGTAATCTACATAAATAAGCATACAATTTTTCATATTCCTGGGCTCTTCGTTCCCCTCTTGAGTTTATACCGGAATCAAACCCTTGATTCTTCTGAATCTACAGATGAGACTGAGTCTGGGTTTTCAACAATTGCATATTGTGAGTGGAGAATCAAGAGTTCTACCAAAGAAACGCTGTGTAGTGGTTATTCATTCCACCTATGCCCTTAGGGTACCAGCCCCTAGGGCATGGCCTGTTGGCTTGCTTAAGACCTGGGAATCATGTATGTGCGTTCCTACTTTCTCATCTCTTTGGATGGCGGAGACCAAATCAGGCAGCATGAAGCAGTGTGGGACCGGTTCTCAACCTTCCCGGACTCCGAGACTGAATTTGCCGTATCCTGTAATACTGAGTTGTTCCCGCAATATAATCATTTAATAAATAGTCCTTTTATCAGTAATCCATGGATTTCCTGAATTATCTGGTGCTGTGGGGTGGTCTTTCTATATGTTGTGAATATGTGTTGATACTGTTGGTTAATAAAGACGCTGTTTTGGCCTACGGTAAGGCAGAATAAGAGCCAGGTGGGAAATCCAAGAGAGACACAGGGAGAAGAGGGCAGAGTCAGGGAGACAGGATCCCACCACCCAAGGAGGAACAAGATGCCAGGAGACTGGTAATGCCACAGTCACAGGGTGAAATATAGATGACTAGACATAGGTTAATTTAAGATGAAAGAGCTAGCTAACAAGAAACCTGAGCCATAGACCAAACAGATTGTAATTAATGTATGCCTCTGTGTGTTTACTTGGGGCTGAATGGTGGCGTGACTGGGTGGGACAGGAAAACCAGCTACAATTGGCTCCCAGATGTGGCAGCAAGAGTTTCCACCTAAAAGAGATTCTAGAATGAAGCTAGAAAACAGCTTCCTTGTTGTGTCTCCCTTGAAAGCTGTGATACAGCCTTGTGGGCTTGAGCTACAGCATGGCAGACTCCTGCTACACTACACGGAGGCATCTCCAAGCTGTGCAGCACACTGTGCGGCAGATTTAGCTTTTGCTATAAGGTTTCTGGGCTACATGCTGCTTGGTGGAGGCATGGACTCTGTTGCTTCCAGGGTTGGTGGTGAACATAGCTCCCAGAGCTGGCAGTAAACGTACCTCAGCCATGTTGAAAAACCGAGCAGGGTGGAGCCAGCAGCCAAAGCTGCAGATTCGGTCCCAGCCATGCAGCATAGCAGTTTAAACACTCTCCTGGTCAAAAAAAGGATTACAGATACACAATAAACAGATTCAGGTGGAGAAAACTCTAAACAGTTTACAGTGTGTGTAAAAATAAAACGTAGGCTTGGAAGTGAGTGGAAAAGGAGCATAGGCAGTTATATAAAGAAATAGACAGTTTTAAAAAATAAAGTCTTTAAAAAGACACTAAAAGTAATATGAAAGTTAAACCACATAAGGATGGAAAATACAGAGAGAGTCTGGATTATGTATATGATTGTGCTTTCTTTGAAAATCTTGACAGTTAATGAGCTAACAACAGAAAGACATTTGATTGTAAATGTTGCTGAGTTAAACCAACACACACACATATATATATACATATATATGTATGTATATATTAAAGATATTTTGACTTTAAAATTTGAGTCTAAAAATATGTTGCTTTGGAAAAGAGGTTCTGCTTTTATTTACACAAAAGATGAGAACCTGTGGATTGTTTCCAGGTTAATAAGGTTTGATCAAGCAAGACCCCCTGAAAAATCTCCAATGAGAACAGATGGTCCAGATGATCCAAGATTTCAGAGCACCTCTGTTGCAGTTTCCTCTAAGTTCTATATCCAGAAAGGCTTCGAGGCTGCTGGCTGAGATGATCCAGCCTCACAGACAACTCCAGTCAGGACCTGACCATAATCCTAAATTTTCTCAGGATCCCCCAATCAGCAGGAAGTAACCTAGAGAACTATACCCACATTCCCCCCAAAAAAATGTATTATGAATGTATGTCTTTGTTTAGCGGTTTGGTTATAAATTGTTATGGTCATAGTCAATCTCTTTCTAAAGGAAGAATAAGAGATATGATATAGAAATGATGAAAAAAGTGGTAGATTATTAAATCTACTTTAATAAAAAAACAACTGTTAATCTTACATATTTTATATCAGTATGGATTTTAGTTTATTGATACAAATTTAAAGTTAATTTTGTTATACTGTAGGTGTATTTCTACTCTTGTTTAAGGTATTATGTTTTTGCAACTCAATTAAAATTGTAATATATAATTAAGAAATACAGATTAATAATCATCTATGATAATAATTTTTTTGTTGTTTTTTTCGAGACAGGGTTTCTCTGTG